GCAGCAGCAGCAGCACAACAACACCACCACCACCACCACCAACAACAACACATCAGCAGCAAATCACACAAAAACAAACGATTGCAACAACCACGCACCTTAGGGAGGAGAAGAGATTCCCGCCTCCAGAAGCTTGCGTCGCCCTCCTTGAAGAGAGGCACCACGTAGTCCTCCGGGAGGTGCTTGATGCTACCCTTCCCGATGTGCACGCCGGCTTCCATGTGATTCGTAGCGAAGCTTTGCTCCTGCTCGGCGGGGCAATCCCAACAACGAACGACGCGCAAGAAGAGAATAATTTGAAGTGGACGCAGTCAAACGCGCACACTTGGACCAAAACGCATCCGGCTTGAAACCGATCTGTTTCCAATTGGAAGTACAATAGCCCACCGAGAAAAAGGAGCACGTCTCTACACAAACGTAAATGAAGGACAGACTGCCGCCAGAGGTGGCCACACGAACGAGGACGACACCAACAACCTCAATAACAAGAGAGCGCTTCCGCACTCACGTGGATACAACGAGACTATGAGAACAGCTTTTCGTGTATCCACCAACACAATCACGACAGAGAAAGACACACACTTGATTGAACAAAGCACAACAACCAACACAACCTCATGTTACCATGTTACCATACAAATACACACAACCAAAAGACTTACTCGTCAACACACGAGGACAAACTTGATCAAATCAATCAACAAACTTGCACACACCTGCTTGTATCCCGGGTAGAGTAGGTACCAGTCGTTGTGGTACATGAGAGAGAACAGGAACTTCTTCCAGCTGCCGCTCCACCCGTTTACCAGCACCCCCGGGATGTCCTTGTACTTGTCGTTAACCAGCGCCGCGTGCAGGTGCATCCACACCTCCGGGAAGTAGACCGTGCCCCAGCTGCAGGGGGTCTGGAACAGGAGAGCGTTGTAGCCGCTGGCCGCACGGTTGAAGTCGAGGTGCGCTCGCTGGGCTGTCACCTGATTTAACGCGAAAAAGTGAATTTTTTCGGCAAGGGGGAGGGGGGGTTACTCAAGTTTTGCTGCCTTAGTTGTTTGTTGCCATTGACCACGCGTCCTCGAGAGGACGGTGGGTGGGGGGGATTGAGCACCGCTGTCCTGGTGCGGTTTCCTCCGTTTTCCGGTGGAGCACTGTCGGGGGGGTATTGTTGTACATAGAAACGCTGGCGCAAAATGTGTCTCAGCACGAGCGTCATCCAAAGCGGCAGTCGTTCGCTCTTTCTCAACTTGACAGTCGTTCCTCGTGAACGCTACGCGAGCAACAGGGTGGTGCAGCAAGCCGATCGATCGGCATGCCGCGCCCTCAAGACTTAGCGAGCAACGACAACGACATCAAAACAACCAATCCAAACCATACAAATCACACGACAGACCCACCAACCAGCGAAGGGTTAACTACACCAACCTTCACAACATAGCGCTTGGACTCCCAGCCAGCCCCCTACAACGTAATTCCTCTCGCTCTATACACCGCAGGAGGGGAGGGTGGAGAGGGGCTCTTCTGTGTGACCACGGGTTGGAATAAACGGCACTAGTGCTGTGAGCGCTGATTCGAAGTGAAGAACAAAAAAAAAAAAAAAAAAAAAAAAAAAAAAAACACCTCTCTCACCTCCTCGATCCGAGGGGTGTAGAGGCTGATACCCGCCAAAGACGTGGTGGGCATAGTGTTAGCGTTGAGCGTGATGGGGTGGGCCGCGTCGGAGCTGTAGCGGTAACGCAGCAGCAGGTGCTTGGACCAGGCGTAGAAGGCGGGCGAGACCTCGATGTCGTCCTCGAGGAAGATGGCGTAGTCGTGCGGCGTGGAGGGGTGGAACGACTCCGTCACGGCGGAGATGAGCCCGCCCCTCTGGATGCGGTGGTGGATCTGCTTGTCTCCGAAGGGCCAGTCCACGCCCTGAGAGCCCGTTCGACACGATGAAGGGCGATTGTTGATGGGATGAGATGATCGACGATGGTTGATTTCGGTGGTATGCGATGGGTGGTTTCGATGGTAATTTACGCGATGGATGGATGATGGCGGGGGTCCATAGTATGCGCACGATGGTTGAGTATGACGGTGTAAACGACCCAGCGTGACACGGTACGGTAAGGGTGTGTGGTGAGTGCGGCTAGTGAGAGCGACGGGGACCCATCATCAGCCAAAGTGCTTCAGAGCTGACACATCGTTTCGTTTGCACGCGCACACCTCCCGAAGAACGCGGCACGTGTCCGTACATGCACCATCCAACGCCCGAGGTGAGCCTCGGCATGCCGGAGTCGATGGGGCCACGCCATGATCGGGCAAACGTGATTCTGTGCGAAACACAGCTACCGGGTACGGTTACCTACAGCGTCTACCTTCAATGGCTGTGAGTACGGGTCCTTGTATGAACATGAACAAGCGCTGCCACACGTTCACGACATGTATGATTGCGTCTTTGCCGCACCCATTGTGCGCTCTGCGCTGCATAGACCCTGAGTGCCGCCTAATACTACAACACCTCTTTCTCACCATCAGGTAGTCCATAAGCTCTCCGTCCGCGTCCACGTCTACATGGAAGCTCAGTTCCACCTCGTCGCCCAGGAAATGGCTGTCCTGGAGAGACTTGACCAGCCGCACTAGAGAACTCAACCGGTCGTTCGTGATCACGTGGATGCTGATCTGAAAAACGAGAGAAGAGAGCGAGAGCGAGAGCAAGCAGCAAGAACAATTCGAGATGGCGCGAACATGGGAACAGGGGACAACAGTCAGTTACATCAGTCATTGGAGCAACAACGCAAATATGCCAGCACTGTGGACATCCCGTGCAGAAACCAACACCCCGGAAAAAAGACCAAAAACAAAGTGACTTGTTCACCCAGAAAAAGTCCAACGGCAACAACGGAACATATTTCACCAACAGCTCGCAGTGACTGGCAACTTCAGCGGCCACAACTAACAATAACAAAGAACAACAAGTTCGACTACGGGGAAAGGTCGGCTGTGAAATTCACCACGTAGCAACAAGATTCTGGCAACAGCCACCAGTCCGTCACATCAACAACCACAGCGGTTGGTATCCCCCTCCCACAAAAACACACACCTTGGGCTGATGCCAAGCGGCGACCATTGCGGGGTCAAGGGCCGGAAGGAAGCTGAGGTACAGCGGATCGTTCGACCCCATCTTGATCGTAGCGGCCGGCTTCTGGACGTCCATCATCCTGGTCAAGCGAATCAACATTAAAAAGAAGTGGGCGAAAATGGTGATCTAAAACGGACGTCTGTCATCCCGACCAAGCGAATCAAAACCAAGTCAGCAAGCGATACAAGGCGATTGGAAAACGGACGTCCACCAACATGACCAAACGGACCTAAATCAACAGCCGCAAGGAACATCGTCATTTTCGAAGGGCCAACTCAACAGTCAACATTCGGAGCGTACAAACCTATCTACATGACTACCGCACGCCAAAGTTGCCGCGTCAACACACTCCAACAAAAGATTACTAAACATCTCTGCCCGCTGTACCCTCCGCACAACAACAACGGTCACAGCAAGCAGCAAGCTCGCCCTCACCACTCACCACTCGTTGTAGGTGGCTGTTGCGGTCGTCACGACGCGCTCCAGTGCTGCCGAAGACATGTTGCTCCCATCTCCCGCCGCCGCCGCCGCCTCGGCTGCCACTTGGGCCGGCGACAAGCCCGCCCCCCTGGCCGAGCTCACCATGAGCACCGCCCGCGCCTTGATCGCGTACAGCACCTATGTAGACATCACCATCACCATCACCAACACCCATGGAAACGCAGTGCTGTAAGGTGCTAGCATTGGATTGAGTGACATTCTTCGTTCGGGACATGAAAGTACCAAATTGCCATGGTTCCCCTGTATGGGTGTAGAACCTCGTTGTATTTATCGTTGACGTTGCCGCCGTCGATCGTTCTTCTCGGTGTCAGCGTTCCGTGTCGTAAATGTATCCAAGTCGTGCTGTATACGGCTTCGGTCGAGTTAAGAACCGTTCCAGCCATCGACAGAGGGATCATGTCTGATCGTCAAGTCATGTCATGTGTTGCCACGCCTCTTTCACTGTCACTCTTCGTGTCCAATCTACCCAATGCAATCCATCCACCAAGGTGGCACGGCGCGGCACATCCCTCACTCACCTCTCGCAGGTTAGCCGTGACGGCCAGCTCGTACGCCGCGGGGTGCGACTTCTTAACTTTCTGCGCCGCGCTCCATCCGTCCACCTTACAAAAAATAAAAAGGAGAAGGAGCAACGTCACAACCTGACATGTCGACGATAAACACAAGCAGGACCCAACAACATCTCTCTGCCCACCCAACAAAGCACAAAAGCTAAAATTGTTCCGTTTGACATGACCGGCGGTGTACAACAACGGGATATTGATTGTTCAAGACACCCACAATTCCGTCCTAACACTCGTGGAACACGATACCTTAGCATTTCCTACCCATGCATCCGCACCGGCGTTTCATACCGCCGTTGGCAAAAGAATGCGTGTTGCATCGAGGCCGGTCAACCTCGCCGTCCCTTGCGATCGCGGAATTGTTGAAAAAAAGTAAAATCCCTAGAATACTGCCTCGCACAGTAGTGAACAGCGACACCATAAAAAGCATTTGATACCAATCAAAACAACTTTGTCGGGTCTTGCAATATCGAAAAAATGGGTTCCTTGACACGACGTCAGCCAACGACCGCTGAAAAATGGTGTACTGTACATTGAACTCACAGCCTCGCCGGTGGGCGCGAAGACTCGCATGTACTTGAAGGAGCAGAACCGCTTCACGCTGAAGTTCAACAGCTCCGCGATTCTCGTGCACCTGCACGACAACGGGAGAAGGAGAAAACATACCACCAGTTCGGAGGTGAGTTTCAAGTCGCGCAGGCGTTTCTATCGTTGCTCTAGAACCCCAGGAAACGGGGCTTGCCCTCACCTACTCGACCTTCCATAGACCTCCTTTGGTTGAATACATTATAGAGTATTCGCCCCGGCAACAACAACTTGACAATACCAAAAGGATCACTTACCCGATGGTGGGGGAGAACATGAAGAGCTTCCATCTAGGGCCTCCCAGGCTCTCGTCGGCAGCGCCGTCGATCCACATCAAGGAATCCTTGAACGCCGTTACCTTCACAGAAAAAAAAAGCGAAAAAAGGGCGCGCGCGAAGGGTAAGTTGGACACAGCATACCGCACACGAAAGCCACACCACGCGGCGTGACCACCTTCACCTCGACCACCATGAGCGGTGTGTTCACCACAATTACCTCGAAACAAACCACTTGCAGCGACGATCGACAAACACCGATCAAGCAATGCTCACAAAAACAGCGGACAACAACCCCACTACGGTAACCATGTCAACCCCCCCCCCCCCCCTTATTAACACAACCCC